GCTCCTGAAATTTTTTTCTCCTTTGAGACACTATATAGTTTAGACTGGCCTTGAACTCACTGTTTAGCCCAGGCTGGCCTTGAACTCATGGTGATCCTCCAGCCTCAACCTCCTAAGTACTGGGATTACAGGCATGAATTACCACACCCCTGAAACTTTTTCTGTTTTTACAGCAACAGTCTCACCATATTTCCCAGCCTGGCTCAAAACTCCTGGGATTAAGAAATCTCACGGGCTGGGGATTTAGCTCAGTGGTTCTGCTGCCTGCCTTGCATGCGCAGGGACCCGAGTTCAATCCTTGGAACCGAAAAAAAAAGAAAAAAGAAATCTTCTCCCATTAGCTTCCCTGATAGTAGGACTACAATGAAAGCCACCACACTCAGCTCAAAACTTTTTTTCTTTTCCTTCAGTTTTTTGGGACAGGATCTAACTATGTATCCCAGGAAGGCCTAGAATTCAATCCTCCTGCCTCAGCCTCCTGAGTGCTGGCATTACAAGCATGCATGACCACACCCAGCTACCTGCTGGTTTTTTAACCCGATGACTTCACCTACCTCATGATCACAAAGTGTCACAACTACAGAAAGAATATCTATGTCCAAGAAAGAAAAATGGTGACATAAGCAAAGCCTCCTTCATGCCATTGCCTTCTATTAAGAAACAACCTCTTTGCCAGGTGTAGTGCCGCTTGCCTGCCATCTCAACACAGGGGAGTTGAGGCAGGAAGATTGCAAGTTTGAGCCCAGCCTGGGACCCCGTCTAGAACAAAAAAAAGAAAATCTCTTGCCCACAGTCTCCCAGAACACTCTGTGCTTTGCTTACTTCTCATTGGCCAAAACTGTCATGTGGCCAGGTCTGATTCCATGGGATTCTGGGAAAGCAAGTATCAAATTTTCTTCCATAGCTAATTTGGAGATGAATAAGGAAGGGAGATTAGGGAATGTTTGCTGGATTAGCCACAAACCATGTGTGTCACAGCTGGATCATTTGTTTTCAGTCTTCCTTGTTTTCTTTATTCCTTCCTGATGCTCTCTGGATGAATCTCACCCTGATTTCATTGCTCACCATCATATTTGGGCTGTAACCATTCTGCTATTCAATTCACGTATGGATTTCAACAATTACAAATTTTTTTTTTCTTTTCTTGGGGGGCGGGGTTGAGACAAGGTCTCACTATGTAGTTAAGACTAACCTGGAACTCACTATGTAGCCCAGGCTGGTCTCAAACTCACAGTGATCCTCCTGCCTCAGCCTCCCATGTGCTGGGATTACAGGTGTGCACCACCACTCCCAGCTCTACAAATTTTCAGTTTAGTACTCCCAATTATTTTTTCTTGCTTGTTCCTACCTTGTTAACTATCTTTCCTTTAAAAAAATTTTTTTTAATTGTGTTACTGGAGATCGAACTCAGGGGCATTCTACCAGAAGCTATATCACCAGCCGTGCTTCTTTTGCAATTCTAGAAATTGAACCTAAGTCTTTTGCACTGAATTAGCACTTTTTAAAATCTTTATTTTGAGATGGAGTTTCACTAAGTCAGTTGCCCAGGCTGAGCTTCAATTTAGGATCCTCCTGCCTCAGCCTCCCAAAAAGCTGAGATTAAAAGCATGTGCCTCCATGTCTACCTAACACTAACCTTCTTTGTCTTTTTTATTATTTTTTCCAGTATCATTGATCAAACTCAAGGCCTTGTCCTTGCCAGGTAGGCACGATGCCACTGAGCTACATCCTTGGCTCTTTATCTTTTTAAAGTATTTATTATATTTATTTAAAACTCTGTGTGCCAGTTGTGGCGCACGCCCGTAATCCCAGCACTCGGGGGCCTGAGGCAGGAGGATCGCTGTTTGAGACCAGCCTGGGCTACACAGTGAGTTCCAGGGCAGTCTCAACTACATAGTGAAACCCTGTCTCAAAAATAAATAAACAAACAAAACTCTGTGGAGGAGGAGAAGAGAAGAGGAAGTAAAAATTGAGATGTGTTATATGCATGTACCAACTCCCTATCAGGAATGTACTGCAAACATGTACTAGTAAAAAAAAAATTAGGGGCCAGGGATATAGCTCAGCACTACAGCATCTGCCTGGCAAGCTCAAGGCTCTGAGTTCAACGCCTTGTACCAAAATATAAATATAAATAAAAAGTAAAATAAAACTCCATCCAGGTGCCCAGTATGGTGACATTCCTATAATCCTAGTAACTGGGAGGCTAAGGCAGCAGAATCTCAAATTTAAGGCCAAACTGGGCTACACAGCAAGTTAACCAGTGGGGACTACAGAGTGAGACTCTGCCTCAAAATAACCTGTTTTAACTCTGCTTCATCTAATGTTAGTTTCTCAGTATTCATCTAATATTAGTCTCCTAGTGTTGCAAATATGTTCACTGCTATCTTTGGTCTTGGGAGGGGAAGGCTAAAGCACAAGCCCTAGGACATATAGGAGGAAATGGTGAATTAAAGTTTAAGGCCCACCGGCGAGGCCCTTCCTAGCCGGGCCAGGCTGCTGAGACAGTGTTTTGCATTGCACAGTGACAATGGCAGGTAACTGCGATCAAAGGCCAAAATTAATGCTGATTTAATTTGAAGACTACAGTATTGAGGGCGGGGGGTTTAGCTCAGTGGTTCTGCCGCCTGCCTTGCAAGCATAGGATCCTGAGTTTGATCCCCAGTACTAAAATAAAATTTTCTTTTAATTAAAAAAAAAAAAAACTACAGTATCAGGCTCAGTGCTTCCACCGCCTGTCTCACAAACACAAGTCCCGAGTTCAATCCCTGGTACCAAAAAAATAAAATAAAATTACAGTATCAGGGCTGGGGATTTAGCTCAGTGGTTCCACCAGAGTTCAATACCCAGTACCACACACAAAAAAAAAAAAAAGAAAAGAAAGAAAAAGAGAGAGAGAGAGATAATTACAGTATCAATTGTGGCTGAGGATATAGCTCCATGGTAAAGAAGCCACCTAAGCATGTGAGACCCTGGGTTTGATCCTCAGCAGCACAAAAGAATAAAGAAATAAATATGTCACTTGTAAGCAAGGTGTGGTGGCATGCAGCTATAGTCCAGCTATTCAGGAGGCTAAAGTAGGAGGATTGAGCCCAGGGCTTCAAAGCCAGCCTCAGCAACATTGGCAAGAGCCTATCATAAACCAGGCATGGTGGTGCATGCCTATAATCCCAGCAATCGAGAGGCCAAGGCAGAAAGATCACTGTGAGTTTGAGGCCAGCCTGGGCTACACAGAGTCCAAGGTCAGCCTGAACTACACAGTGAGGCCCTGTTTCAAAAAAAATAAAAAGGCAATTGCAGCACTCAGGAGGCTGAGGCAGAAGATTGCCACAAGTTTGAGGCCAGCCTGACTACATAGTGAGCTCAAGACCAAGACCAGCCCAAACTACACAGAGACCCATCCCCTCCCCAAAGGAAACCATGTCATTTTATAAAACAGAACATGTGTTCCAAGGAGCTCAACAAAAAACTTTGGTTTGGGTGCAAGGGAGGTAGTTACTGGTAGAGTGCGTCTCTAGTATGCATGAGGCCCTAGATTTGGTCCTGAATGCCACAAAAATAAAATGTCGGCACTGGGAGTGTAGCTCAGTAGTAGAGTATGTGCTTAGAAGGTGAGAGTCCCAAGATTCAGTTCCCAGTACCAAAAATAAATACCTGTTGAGCCAAAATACCCTCCAATCACATTAGCCTCCTTACCAAAAGCCAGCTATGTCCTGAGTCTCAGTGCTCGTTGTTTCCATACATCCCTGACTCCTTTACTACACAAGGGCATGTCCCTGAACAATATTCCATCTCCTCTTCTCTCTCTCATCTGGCTCTTACCTTTAACACTTCACCAAGACTGCTCAAGATCACCAAAGACTCAGGTGCTGGCAAATTCAAAGGATACTTTTCATTTTCTTATTTAATGTTTGACTGATTGAGACAGGGCCTTTTTTTTTTTTTTTTTTTTTTTTTTTTTTT